GTGTGTGTGTGTGTGTGTACCAGCTTGCTGTTTAGTCTGCAGTGACAAAGAAAAATGCAAAGAAATGGTTTATCTAATGACTCATTATAGACCAACAGATTTGCAGTCAATTAATAACTGCAAAAGTCTGTTATTAATTGATTACTTACATTTGCATTTAATTGCTGCATTAATGAGCATCATTCTCTGAGCAGCAGGGACTGCGCCTCTCCAATCAGCTCCTGCTTTGCTCTGTGGTGAGGCGCACTGCTGCAGATTTGCATTATCTAAAAACAGATGATGACATGGAAGCTAAAAACTCTAGGAAAGGAAATATAACAGACTCATTAGCACTACTAGACACTTTTATTTATCTATTTATTTATTTAGTTTTTAGATGCACTTGGGGAAAAAATCATTTATCATTTAAAACACAATGCATGTCTTTTCTGATTGTGAATTCATGAATTCACAATTTCTACATCTCATTCAGCACGGGGGGAAAAATCTGCAATTCCAGCTTCACAGTCCAGATTTCAGAGTCTTGTCTTGCACTTAGCTGTTTAATCTCTTTCTAAATTACAGATATTTATGAGATTTGGCCTCCATAAATAGGGTTCTTCATAGAGTTTAAAGGAACAATAGTTTCTTTCATGTTTATTTCCTGTGCAGGTTGTTCTCCCGTAAATTCAAATAAGGTGACGTCCATAGGTTTTCAACTTCCTAGTGTTACTAATAAAAATGTCTGTCTGTGCTTCTTAGGCCAAAGCTCGAGGACGGTCAGCTCCTCTACAAGCATAGAAAGCCTCTCCGGTGGCCGTGGTCAATCCACCGCCTCCCCGCCTCTTCCCCCATCCAGAGGGAGTGATGTCAGCACTTCATCCCCGCCCCTCTCCGCCACCAAGAAGGAGTCCTTCTTTAACATCACTCGCTCGCGCTCCCACAGCAAGACTATGGGCAAGAAAGAGATGGTAAGTCTTTTTAATTTTCTCTCACAGCTTTAACCATAATCCCTTCTTTGTAGGGTTTCCTTCAGTTTCCAATTTTCTCTGTTTGTGTTTGTGGGATCAACAGGAAGAAGACCTGGAAGCCCAAGTGTCTTTCCTGCAGGGCCAGATCAACGACCTGGAGGCCATGAGCAAATACTGTGCTAAGATGATGAACACACACATCTGTAAGTTCAGCCACACATGGTTACATGGCTTAAAAAAAAACCATTCAGTCTAATTCCACTCGTGCGTCAGCGTCTGCTGCAGGTTATATTTTTGTCTAACTTAAATTTGTAAATTTCCAAATTTCTAATTTTGCTAAAAATTTACTGACAATAATAATACTGTTTATGTTTTCGAATTGTAATATAGTGATAGTAATATAGTCGATTTTTGTGGCCGATCAGTGCCTGACCACTCATTGTTCCTCTAGGTAAAATCCAGGAAGTGATTCTCCAAGAACACATCGAGAAAGAGGATGAGGTCCTGGTCTCACTGGCTGGACTCAAACAGGTGACTGTGTGAGCAGATGCTATAAGTGTGTATTCATTTTTGTGATGTCCCTTTTATAATCATATTCACTAACTCATCTCTGTGGCCTCCTCCTCCCTGTCAGATTAAAGACATCCTAAAGGGAGCGCTGCGCTTCAACCAGAGCCAGCTGGAAGCTGAGGAGAATGAAGAAATCACCATTGCTGACGATCACTACACGTCCACAGCAGCAGCAGGTGAAACTGTTCTAAGCACCAGCAGCCTCCACAGTGGCCAGCAACAGCAGGCAAACATCAGGCCGAGCAGGGACTCCGAGCTGGAAGGGAGCGCGAGCATGGACGAGAAGGAGGAGGAGCAGGCCATGACACCATTTGATCAACAGGTCAGCGTTTTTCCTGTCTGCGTAAATTATTGCTCTGTACCTCTGCCAGCTGTATTGGCATCAAATACAGTTTAACGTTCACTCCATACAGGATTATGTTTCGTCGTCTGTTCTGCTGTTTGACCCTTTGATCCCAGGATTCATTCATTTTAAATCCTAATCCCTTTCATGTCTGCAAGTCTGTGTTCAGAGTGGTTTTGTATCTTTCCAGGATTATGGTGTGTCATGCTAAATCTGCTCTCCTAAGAATTATACCATTTCTGAATGATACCGCCCAGCACAGCAAGTTTATCTCAAAACACTCAGCTTTAGGCCAAGGCAAGCGTGATCTCACACTTTAGGCATTTATGCAGTTTTAAAAAAAGATTCTTGCATGCAGGTGGCGTCTTCTCTGGGCTTGGAGGGCAAAAACTGGGACGATTACATCCTTATTTCCCAGGACGGAGACCTACACGCCGAAACTGGAGGAAAGTCTGCATCCGAGCGCACTCCTCCAATCAGACGGGGGCGTGGCATGGTGCGGATGGAGCCTGAGGGTGCGGCTGGAACTTTCCAAGATCCCCTAATGGCAGGCACCACATCAGGTTCCTCCAGCCCAGATGAAGGCTCCACCCACAGCAAGGACTCTGACTTTACCATCGTTAACCCGAACGACCTGTGAACGTGTTAAATCACCGCCCTATTCCTTCACCTATACCCGTTCTGGTTCATATCCATTCAGCGGGGTTTGATCAGAGAAAAGTGACCTGGAATTGGTGAGGGGACTTTAGGTCAATGGTGAAACTGAAACTGCTCTCAACATAGAAATTGAACACATGGACTGTGACACTTGTGTCACAAATACCCGATACTCTCTCTTTAATCTGTGCCACTTCAGTCCTGTCTGAGCTGATGCTGTATGCTGTCTCATCTCCTTATTATGCTGGGCCTTTTTAGTGGGTACAATCTAACCTCATCCGTCACTCATGATGATTTGTAGTTCCCTGCTCTACAGAGAGAGGGCGCCATTGAACTGCTTACCCTGTCACTACAAGATGATTCTAAAGAGTTGGACCTGAAACTGCAGTTTACCTTCAGGAGGGGACTCCTTTTCTCTTACTGTAATGATTGAGAGTGTGGTGCTGTTGTTCCTCGTGAATGTGGAGCTCTGGCCACACCTCTGCCTGTGTTCTGTCTGCGTGTATGCCTCTAAAGAGGAAGCGCTCTGCCCTGATACTCGAAGGAAAGAAGGATGGTGTCGTCCTGTCACTTGTTGAGGGCAGCTTTCTCCCCCCCTCATAAACCAGTGCCTCTGACCGTTATTCTTCTCAGCCAAACAAAACCTAACTCTGTGATCTTTTTTTTTTCTTTTTTTTTTTTTAATTTAAGAAAACTCTTTTAAAGAAAACTGTTTTGTTTTTATTTTTAACCCTTTAGTGCTTTAATTTCCCTGGTGTATATGATTCAATTATGGAATAAATCTCCTTTACCTTTGTTTTAAAATTGATTCCAATATGGACAATTCAGTGTCAGTTATCTTTGCTCACGTTACAGGTAAGTTGTTCTCGTGTTCTGTGGCAAAATTACGCAAAGCAGCACACAAAGAATGTTCCTCTATAGCTGCCTATTCAGCCTAATTAACTCTAGACCAATAAAACTACATTGCTCTTGCTAAAACGCTGAACTTCTAGTGTCTTCTTTGGATTACTTGCTCTCAAGACTTTGAGTTAACACATTGTCCTGATTGGATAGCAGCAGTAAAAAGCAGACAGGAAGTGTGGGTAAATGGAGTAGGAGTATAACAACTGAACCATGGATTCGCAGCTAATGGTATTATTACGTATGCTGTGTACTTTGAGCAAATTTTGCAGAGATATCAGTCTTTGTGGTTTATTTAAAAGCTATTCTGGGGTTTTGGTTAAATAATGGTCTTCATCTCCAGATATTATTCATTGTTGCGAGGAGCTGCTACAGATGTTTATAACATATTTAACTGCAAAACCATCCATACTTACAGCAGCAGCATGGGTAAGCCTATATTTCAGTGAAACTGAGAGATGATTATGCCCAGGACAGTAAAAACTTGGATCTCATGCAAATAAAATGTGCATTTATATGTACAAACACTTACTATGTTCACATTTACAACTGCTTGTTAATGCAAATATGTAATCAGCCAGTCACATAGCAACAACTCAATGTGTTTAGGCTCATAAAGTTGGTCAAAATGACCTGCTGGAGTTCAAACCAAGCCTCTGAGTGGACAAGAAAGGTGATTTGAGTTTGAACAGTTGTGTCAGATGAGCTGATCTGAGTGTTTCCAAAAACTGCTGAGCTGCTGGGATTTTTCCTGCACAACCATCTCTACACTGAAAAAGGGGAAAATATCCAATTAATAGCAGTTTGGGCAAAAAATTGTTGATACCAGCCGTCAGAGGAGAATAGCCAGACTGCTTCGAAATCAACAACAACTCAAATGACTATTTATTCCAACCACAGCAATTTTTAAATGCACGACACGTTGAACTGTGATGGAGATGGGCTACACCAGCAGAAGGCCATACCACTGTTGTTATGCTGTTAGCTAAGAAAAGGAAAGAGAAGCTACTTCTGTTCTCCAGTCAGAGTAGAAAATTGGGAAAAATGTTGCCTGGTCTGATGCCATGATTCCTACTGCAAGATGGTAGAGAGAGAATTTGCCATAAGTGACATGAACGCATTGGTTCATCCTTCTTATTATCAATGGTTCAGGCTAGTGATGATGTAATGGTGAGGCTGATCTTGGCACAGTTTGAGCCCTTTAGTACCAGTTCAGCATCATTTAAACCCCAGACTATTACCTGACTACTGTTACTGACACAGCTATCCCTTTATGACTACAGTGTGGGCATGCTTCCAGAAGGATTACATGCCATGTCACAAAACTAATCAAACTAGTTTCTTGAGCATGACAATGAGTTCAATGTACTCAAATGGCCTCCAGTCAGCAGCTCTCAATCCAATAGAGCACCTTTGGGATATATTGTAATGGGAGATTCACATAATGAATGTTCAGCTTATAAATCTGCAGTAACTGATATCAATGAACCAAAATCTCTGCCAGTATGCTTTAAAGCAGTTGCTTGCAAGGTGTACCAAATAAAGTGGTCATTGGTGCATGTTTTAATGGTTGGAAATAGTCATTAATTGTGACCTTTCAACCGTGATGCACCAAAGCTTTATATGGAAGCTGTAATTAGTTTTTTTTTTTCCACTGCTCATCGCAGCAGCATCACAGGTCTGCTTCCCCAGCTGTCATCGCAGCACTCCTCTTGCTTGTGTCATGCGTCACTATAGCTGAAAGCTCCATCAAGTCTTGCAGAAAAACAGAGGCATGCACACAAGTCATTTAAAAACTAGTTTATTTTCATCCTGGCTGCTGAGGAAGGTAATCGTGAACTGACCTTTTACAGAACTACTCGAGCCTCATTTATCTACACCAATAATATGTATCTGGAATGTTTTCATTCAGGATCAATAACTTATGTAAAATATTCTTTGCAGTAAAAGGATAGAATTACTTAATAAAATACTGTACAGCGTTTTAAAACACAAACATAACAGTATTAGTTCCCTCTAACCACATATTTACACTTCTGGAATTGATCGTTTTGGTAGGTAACACCGGGTTCATTAGCACAAGCCTTTTTTTTTTTTAAATGTAAATACAAAAATATAGAATACTGTATGTAAGACCGTAGTAAGATGGCAAAGTGGTGGATTTTTAGTAAGACAAAGGATCTCAAGTTAATTGAATCGAAGTTGAGTGAAGAGCAGCGACTGGGGACCAAAAGACAGGTAATCAAAATCTAGAGACAAAAAGAGACTGCGTTGGTCCACAAGTAACGACAGAAGACCTCAAACATGCACACATCCTTTGACAAACTGTTTCTTTTAACTCGCACGCAAGCTGTCTTACACACCAATCTGAATTTAATCACTGTGGAGTAAAAGTCACCATTTTTTTCCAAAAAGGTTTTGTCTTCTGGTTTCAATCATCCCCTGACCTCAGAAAACATTGCACATAACAAGTGAACATTAAACATTTGGCTTATTTACAGTTTAATACAGTACAAACCGCTCAACCTTGGCTTCAGTAACTACATTCATCTCGGCAGCTTCGCATTTCATTAGTCTTCCCTTGGCTGTGCGCCGCCTTCTCTGGCTCGAAGGTTCAGTAACAGGTGAGCTTACAGTGGCTGCGTTTTGAAGACTTGCATTCATCAGTTCTCCTGTTTCTCTTAATATCTGTTACTCTCTGTAATGCCTACAAAACACTTTGATAGCTTGCCCACTCTGGGAGACTAAGACAGTGTAACACACACACACACACACACACACACACGTGAAAAGAGTTTTTCACAGCAGCTAGGTGCCCTCTTTTTTTTCTACTTGCTATGCCGACTGTCCTCTAGTGCTCATTGCAAGTTTTTCATTGTGGCCTCTGCGTGTTTGGGAGCTTGCCCGTCTTAATCCGGCTCTCTCCTTGGTGAGGTTTCCAGCCAGAGCAGCATCACGGACCTGCTTCATGTTCTCCAGGACTTCAGCCTTGGCGTGTTTCAGCAGGTCAGCCTGGCCCTGGGTGTCAGGAAAGATGGGGAACACAAAAATCAGGAGGCAGGGGTTACAAAGAACGAGGGTGAGGGCAGGGAGGTTGAAAGAACAAACTATGAGCAACCAGCCAGAGGCTGAAACATGTTCTGATACTCTGCCCCGATTGGCTGTTGGGCTTTTTCAGCGTGCATGAGTGTATAACTGACCTTAAGGATGGTGATGTTCCAGCTGAAACGCTCAACTGCTCGGCTGACCTTGGAACCTTTCAGCCCCTCTTTCGTACCCAGGCTTTGCAGTTTTTCGTGAAACTCCATGGCTAGAACGAAAAAGCAAAGAACCACAGCAGATCAGACTTACAGTTCCAATCTCGTACATTTAAATTAAAAAAAAAAAAAAAAGTATATCATCCTTTACAGGAACATGGTGCACTTTTCTCCAAGGCAATCAACATGGCTAACAGGCCATACTAACATGACAACACCTGCTAAACATCTGCACAGTGCCACTGTTGTGAGCATGTTAGCATTTATTTCAAATTACTTCCGTGCCTCAATCTATGCTCTCATTATGAAAATAAAAACAAAAATGAATCATGTTAAATAAAATTCTGTTTTTTTTTCCTCCAAGTGAACAACATAATTATCACTGACGCAGTAGCCTTCAGGTCTCCTACTTCCACACAGAGCTGTGTCCAATATGAGAACATTTCATCTGACCTTACTCTGACTTTCTAAGGACGTCATACATAATTTAGCTTACAAACAGAGACAAGCTCTTCTTTCCCCCACATCATTTTGGCCCCCCCCCCCCCCCCCAAAAAAATAAAAAGGGAAAAAAAGGCCCATCACACCACTTTTTGTTAAGTCATACAGCAAAAGAGTGGAGCAAAATCTACCAGGAACACTGAGATAATCATGCTAGGGATGTGCTGGGCATGTCTCGAGTACTAAAGCTTACCTGCTTCACAATCTGACTAAGAGAGGAAAAAACTGGAATTACACGATTACTACGATTGAATGTCGTAGTGACCTTTTATATTAGATGCCAGCTCTATCCTTTCAAACATCCATCCGTTTAGTTTCTTTAAACCTTCATTATTATTCATTTGGGGGTTATTGAGGGGCTGGAGTCTATCCCAGCTGGGCCAATATTGATCATGGCAGA